GCACTTGCCAAATCAAGGGATTGCGTTTCGTCATTTGTCATGGCACTTTACTTTCTTAGTGCTAAACCTTAGACAACCAGAGGGACGTGAATTGCCTTCAAATTGAAGTGTCGCGAGGGCTACCTATGGAAATCCTGGATCTGTCTCAATGACCACAAGTTGGCGAGTTCATCTATTCTCGTTTAGATAAAAACATTTAACAGGGCAGACAGTGGTTTGACGAACGTACAATCAACTGATTGGGAGAGAACAATGATATCTATCAGAATAAACGACTTGTTAGAGTAAAACACACGAACACTTAGACAGTATGACGGAAAGTAAAAACTACAAAACTGATGATGATCTCAAATAACAAACCCTGTTTTGTGAATGAAGACAATCCAGTTGGAGTCGTTGACATTTCTAAGTCGGAACTTCAAACAAGTGCTGACATAAAACTCGTTGATGGCGGACAAAATGGTGGCATGGTATGAGCCTGAAATAATCAAAAATGCTGTGTCAGAGGATGTTGCAATGCGTCTTGTTGGATYGATCAAGTGCTTTGACAATCTTAGTTAATTTCGGAATGTTAAAGAGTATTCCTATGACATGCAGTGTCCTTGCAAATAAAACCGCGAAGTCAATCTTTATTAACGCTCGCTTTGATAAATCTTTAAATCCAATCTCTTTTTAGCTAGCTCAGACAACTTTTACAATTTTACAATGTTGGTCTTTTTGCAATTGATAATGACTTTCAGTCCATTGCAGATATCTTCAGTGAGTTTTGATGCTTAACTAATCAGAATTCAATTTCTTTTCATTCAAACATAAAACGAGTATCATCGTATTTTTTTTACAGTTTTTACTTACCAGGGATGCTGGAGTGAATCTCATAAGGAATTTCTCTCCGTGGCCACAATGCTTCCCKGTATCTGTACACATTACGGCGAACAAGGTTCTTTTTACTGTTGACGTTAATCTCATTTCTTGTAACGACATTGTCGTCGTGATCAGTTAGGAAAATATCACCCTCAAACAGATGGAGACTTTTACCTAAAAGAAAGAAGGAAACTTCAAACAATAGATTTAAATTATGACAGGGGCTTAGAAGAATGACAATGTCTCCGGACAGGATTTGAACCCATGACCAGGGAGACGCAGGTGGTTTGGTTCGAATCCAACCAAGTGAATTGTTTGAAAGACCTTTCTTTTTATTTTCTTTCTTTCTTCCATTCTTACTCGGGTGATATTACACCAAGAAAAAACAGTGAAGTATCAGACTCTTATGTCAAAAAACTGCTAGAAATTGGTAAAAAAGGATGATGAAAGAATAAGAAACAACGAAAAAACMCTAGTTCAAAAAAACTGTTGAATATTCCACTCCATAAAACATCAATAGGGATTGCGGCATTAATTTGACGGAAGCGAATAATGAGGATGATTGAGTGTTAAACATAACAAGATTGAATCAGGGCTAACATAGACAACCTCTCTAGATCTGTCAATGCAATTCTTTTTCTTTTAACTTTTAAAAGCAGTTCAGAGGYCAAAACTTTAAGCCTTGAAATTAAACAGCAAGAGTAACATTTATTTACACAAAAAGGCTTTTATTAAGGAAAATCAAACCAATGAAATGAGAGTGCAAAATTGTTGCTGTATTTTGCTGCATTAACAGTAAAAGCTGACCTGGGCGATTCGAAATGCGAAAAACATTTGATTTACAAAAGAATAATTTTTCTAGTGAAAGGAAAGATAAAAGTGCTTGCAGAATTTTRATACTTCATTTCATAAAGTGGAAATACAGATAGTTAATTATCTTGTCCGTTTATTGACTTTCTGAGTCTTCTTTTTCAAGAGCGTAAAGCGACACTTCAAAAACAACACAAACAAACAAGAAGCAAATAAGAAAAAATTTGCTTCTCAAGACTATTTAGAGCCATGGATAATAAAATTATACAGAGAAATGGACTGAAATTTAAATATATGTAATTTTTTTGTAAGTGTACATGAATTGACTAAAACGTGTGTGGAATGTTATGTTATGTTATGTAATTTTAAAGTGTACATGAATTGACTAAAACGTGTGTGGATTGTTTATAATTGTGCAGTATGAATAAGTATATCTTGATAAAAACCCATGTTTTACCTGAGTTAATTTTTGCGATTTTTTCTGTTACGGACTCATCATCTTTTGGTGTCAAAATCGAACCTGAAAACAAATATAAAAACCACTCAAAATGCTGACAGTATTCATAAYACGATGCAAGCTCTTTGTGGAGTACAACACCCCCACTACATTAATAAAACAATAGCAAAAGTCATTGTTAAGTGGTCTCTATCTTAGATAGTCGATCATTCACAATAGATAGTTTAATTTTGATAGCATGGTAAATMTCAGTTTCTCGTAATGATACAAAGACGTTTTCCCATGCAATTGTCCATTACACATGTATACAGCAAATGTATTTTTTTTTCAGCTGTTAGACCTGTAGAATAGGCTGGAAAATTGCATTTTCCTTCTTTGCCAGAATTGGCGATAAACATAGGTAATATTAAAACAATCATCACTTGTCCATTTTGAATGCATGATTTCTTTAAATTTGCCAGTTACATAATTTGATCAGTGATGCCTCTCTTGGCCGTTTTTTTCTCAAGAAGTTTATTGCCGCAGCAGCMATACACTCACCTTTCGGGTTAGATTCGGTGTTTTTCACTGGCCAAGTCGTTGTCAGACCAGCATGAAGAAGTACAATGCTCAATGATAACAACATTGTGCTGTACATGTAATTGAGTGGCAAGCAGTGAGTTTTTATAACTGCTGTTACTGTAGACAGTTGATATAGATATCATGTCCCAGATGACATCTTCTCATCCATTAAGAAGTAAATGATAAAGTTATTTGGTTTGTTAAGTACTAAATTGAGAATTAGATACTATAATTTTTAACACATCCTGACTTAGAATAAATAACCATCGTGTTTATTGTATTTACTGGGCCTACAAATGGAGTGCCAATATGTCGAAGAAGGTTCTTCTAATATTACCTAGTAGCAGATCGCCATTTTACGTTTCAGATGTCAAATCCTTGAAACAATCATGTTTTGGTTTTGCTATTTTTTATGAAATTATAGATAGTATTTCCCAGTAATTTTTCATATTGATTATAAATAAGCGAAATTAATAATTACTGTTATTAAAGGTGTGTACCATTATGCTTTGGGGGCCGCGAGGTCCGCGATGGCCGGGAGGCGGCCATTTTCAGTTTACCAAAAGTCTATAATTTGTACTGTGTGTTTCGAATCTTTGACCAACTCACTTTTCTAAGCACTTTAAACGCTAATATAAGGGTTTTTAACCATCTGACATTAGTTTTATGATGATATTTGGATACTAGAAGTATTTTGGTGTAAATCATAACAATAACAGAGGCGCGCAAAGCATAATGGCGCAAACTGGGTCTTTATAAGTAAATATATACTGTTAAAACAAAATAAAACCGCCGGCAGCGTTTCAAAGCTGGCGATAGAAGTCAATTGCTCCTGTTCCTTTTTCTTTTTACTTTCTCTTGTTCAGCCACAAGCACTCTTGAAAACCGCAGTCACCGTACTGTCGTTCCCGTCTGAAAWCTTTTTCTAAAATAGCTATATACACCTATACTACTTGAAAAGAAATTGCCATAGAAAATAGGACATTTGTATTTAGTAAAACTGTATAAAGCTTTTTGAAGAGCTTTCATAAAGTTTTTCCAAAAGAATGAGGAACTGAAAGAAATTTTAAGTGATTCAGGTCTTACTGCTGATAGCTGTTTGTGTCACAGTTAATTGATTTCAATCGAAATAACGCTTGGCTTCAAATTAAATTTTATTTATTAATCGCATTTTTTTTTCAAAAGGTAACAAGTGAATGACAAGTTTTATAAGATTAATTAGTTTAAATGTAAATATTAAATATAGAACCCGTACTAGGAGATCTCAAGCAAGCAAGATTGTTTTACTGGAGGTATAGGAATCAGAAACAGGATCGATTTTATGGTAAGCTTTACGTCGAAACCATGATAGATATTATGTAGCGCAGTGATAGGCAATAAAAACGGCATTTACCTCCATTACTACGCCTAAAATATCTATAATCCGACCTTAATTATATAATTCTCTCTTTTTCTAGTAAAATGAAGCATCGCTTTGTGTTTTTCCTGTGCATCTTGCTGCTCGGAGAAGAGTTTTCAAAAGCAAAATCTGCTATTGAACAGTTWARMCACAATAATGATATTGGCTTTGATGACGATTTTTATGGCGATTTTGAAAGCCAGGTCCATGGTTCGCTCTCTGTTGACGATGGTGCTGAAACTAGCGAGAGGTTCAGTATTTTCGGAAAAGAAGGTAAGTTACTAAGAAATACTTTTCTTGATTGTAGACGATAAGAAAGTCAGCACTTCTTAGTTCGTTTAAACCCGTTCTCATTCAAAAGATGAAAGACCCACGGCCATGTTGGAGGAATGAACAATAGATACTAATGAGAAATGCTTTGTCGAAGTTCCTCCAAGATGGCCGCTGTCGCGGCTGTGACGGATAGTGAAAATAAAGAATAAAGACTTTCCAGCACAGCCCCCATGTTGAATTCCTGTAAGAAACTATGGAATGTTCAGGGAGCGCGTCACGAGCTATGTATGAACTGTACACAGCTCTGAGTTCAAATTTTTATGATTCAATGTTATGTTATCAAATTGTTGGATTCAACTTCCAAATACATGCATTTGAATGGAATATTTACTGATTTGAATGAATATATAAACTATACATTTTGATTAGGAATATTGAGMAAAATTTCAAAGCATAATTTATTGACTGGAAGTATTTTCAGTATATTTGATATTAATGGTCATAATTGAAAGGTTGTTTTTGGACTTTAGAAACTGATTCTCATTCTAAAATAATGCACTTGGTCCGTCAGAAGCCCGTTGATGAATGTGCCGGGAAAAAAGGTAAAGAAGATCCACTTCGTGGAACACACCGTATATTTTAAAGTTCAGGAACTCACGGAAAACTTTGTCCATGTCTTTATTTGAGGTGGTTCACAGACTGCCAAAAATCCAAAAAAATAGAAATATTATGTAATAAGAGCGCACGATGACACAGTGAACTTTATGACTCAATTAATTGTTTGATATCGACGAATTATATAATTATTGTTCTTGCCGAAGACATGCARGATGCCGGACCAGGAGACATAAATATACTCACTTATTAATTCAGTTTAACCTCTTTGCTCTTTTTTCCAGGTTGGATCACTACAGGCTTCAAAATCTTTAAAATATTTGGTCAAGTTTCAGCATACTCAACRTTGGTGGTTCAATTAGGAACAGAAGTATACTCAGCAATTCGAAAGTGCAAAGATATCGCACCAGATGCTGAAGGACTTGTTAACTCGTATAAAGAAGAACGAAAAAATGCAGAACGGCTTAGTCAAGAAGCTGATGACTTGCAAATTGCATGTAAGTTCATGTACTTTTAATGTAGCAGTTGATATTCTTACGTAAGTAACAATKTTTGGAAAAAAATGGCATGATCATTTGCAGGGAGAAATAGCGGGATGGAAAGTTCATTCTTTTAACATAYCTTATTCGCTCATTCACAATGTTCAATCTTTTTTTCCTATAACCTAGCATTCAAAGAGCGCACATTGACCCACAGACTTTAGTTAATTATCTCTGCACAGACTATATGGAGTACTAAAGCGAATCTACATGGAACTAAGACACTTAAATTTACGCARTGACAGATACTTTTTATATGCCTTATCAGAAAAGTAATTTTGTGAAGTCGGTACCCGGTATTATTTACTAATTTTCTATTTTATTAAGCTTTGCAGGAGCGAAATTTTATCGAAGCCACAACCATGTTGTACCGTAAAATTCTGTGCAAGTTAAACGAAATAGACAAAGACAGTGATAACATGTTGTTGTCCATTAGTCCTGAAGTTAGCCTTGCAACTGAAAATGCCACCAGACAAATAGAGGTAATTAACAATACAATAGCTAGTAGGCTATGTTTTTATCGATCTACTCCGACGAAAGACGTCCGAAACGTCAGTAAGTTATTTCACCTACTTTTTTAAGGGTACTAAGGGTGTTATTTCACTGGCACGAACTGTTTTTTAGAAACACTGACGCAAATCAGTTTACTAGTTTACYGTCACTTTCCACTATTATTACATTTACTTGTTCTTTACTTGTTCTTTAATGTGGATTGGATTTTCAAGTATTCAAGTGCTGAAACATCTCATCATATTCCTGAGTCTTAAGTTTGCTATTTGCATGTTTACWCAGTTCAGAAGTCTGATAGCAAACGCGAAAGATTTGCGCAAAATACCCACCAGTAACAYTTCACGCGTTATATACTTTGAATTAATTAACAGAAACTCGTGCAAGAAAAGAACGATACCTTAGAAGGCATCACGTATCTTGAAGTCGACAAACTCTACAGAAGTAGTCTTCAACATGGCTTGGGTATTKCAATCCCTGCTATTTTGCTTGCCTTGCCTGCTAGTTTCGCATTGTTCAAGATGGCAAGAAAGCGGTACAGACAACGAAAAGTAGCTGATGTAAGTTTGTGATAAATACAGTGGATCACGTGCAATAAGTAGTAAAGCATTTTTTTTTTTTTTTTTTTTTTACAAAGATCGAAGTAAATAGCAACGTAGATCTTAAACTTCCATCAAAATCCAAGTTACCCAAGCTTTTCCGAAGTACAAAGTTTAGTAAATGGATTGGAAGAGTCCAAGCAAGATTTCAAGATCGAATAAAAGGATTAAAGGATAAATTCAACAAGTTTTTTGGAAGAATTGGAAAGACCGTGGGTCGTGCTTTTAATGGTTTAGCATCAGTAGCTTCCATAGCTTCCTCAGGTATGAACTTCTTCCTYTGTCTTCCTTTTCATTAGGGAACCATCGTCAAAAAGGATATCGTATTTCTGKGAATTATCATCATCATTTCGCATTCCGCCGTATTTCACAATACTAATTATTGATAAGCTGTTGTCAGCTAGTAAATCTGAAAATATGAGGCACGGTTATTATCCATTATTGCTCCTATATCAAATACTGCCCAATTGGGAACAATAGTAATGTGATTCAGTCAGTCATATTGTTATGTTGTTACGACTGGGTTTGTTACACCATCAAGGGAACTATTACGCACTCTCAGTGCATCTCGTGGGAGGGGGATTCCCTTATAAAAGTTGGTAGATATGCTCGACGGACGGATTGAAAAATGTTCCTAAATGGTGCACATGAATTACTATTCAGGTATCGATTCCAGACCCTAAAAGGTACGACCATCTAGCTATGATCGAGTCTACCGAACCAAGCTAAATGGTGTGCCGTAAAATTTACATAAAAACATTCTGTCTGAATTTGCAGCTTAYTTTGCGTACAAAGCAATCGCTTCGTTGCATCACGAGTGTAGGACGCTGCGTGCGAAGGCACAAGAGGCATACGACAAATCCATAGAAGCGGTCAAGATAATTAATGAAACTTTAGTTGATATAAAAAGCTACAGAAAAGAAATGGCTCAGGTAGGGCTCTGTTTCAGAATTTGTCCAGAAAGGGGAATCACATTATAGATATTCTGCGTCCGTTGAGGTCTCTTCAAGAGTTAAAAAGATAAAACGCTTTTATTTAGTCTTTTATTGCTTACGCGTTATTTCATAATTGTTATGAATAGACAACGAGTAAAACGTGTTTAATTAATGTTATTTAAATTATATCCGCCCCTGTAAATTGTTKGTCCTTTTCGTTTATAGTCTTGGAGTGAAATGAGAGCTGAGCTCACCAAGGACGAGTTTCTTAAATCAGTCCAAGAGACGATGGTAACAATGCAGAACGCAGCCAATCAAAGCGAACCAATGAAAGCTGTAGCACGAGGAATCGGACAGTTTTTGGATAWAATTAAAACCACGAATCATACAAATGAAACGTATTCTGCAAGCCATGATCTATACAACGCTCTCATAAAGTAAGTTTTCTTATGAGTTTACTGAGAACTTTTAGGTGCTGTTACGACAGCGTTGCAAGACAAGTTTCTGACAAAATTGCAATAGCACTTTCAATAGCACTTTCATGTCTTTTATTCTTCATGCTTATTTTTTTTACTCAATGAAAACAAGTGAGAGCAATCTCTCATCCTAGTGGTGACATTTTTAGATTTAGATTTTCACTTGGAATTATAATTGACAAGATCGAGTAGGTGAAACAGACTGACTATTCTATGATATCCAGCAACAGAATTAGTAGGAAGAGAGATCTATTCGATATGCCGAGTGGGTAGTAACATGCCATTTAGAAGTACGGCTTCTTGTTTCATTGATACGTCATCATTTAACCACCAATATTGTTGCACAGGGTCCCATTTGCCTACGTGTGCTACACAAACAAGATAAACATCATTAACTACGTGGTTAAAAAATGTAAAGAAGGTACAAAAACGTTGAAACAAATCATAGCYGAGCAAAAATTGTTATTTGGTGAATATGATAGTGGAGATGATAATGACCCTAGACGATGTAAAGATGACCTTGGCATTGACTACCTTCCTGACCACAGTATCGTTCAGACGTGGATGGGAACCGCACAAGAAAATGGTTAYCACCCTATATGCTACATGAATGACGAAATAACAAGAGAAAAGATCTGTGATAAATCAAGGATGTTTGGATGGGATGCATCGAAAATAGCAAGCACACGGCACTTGGATGAGGATAAGGTTCAAGAAATCATTGATTTGTTACCAGAATTAGCGATGCCCTCGTTAATGCAGGATAGAGTCTGTAAAGCCAGACAGGGAAACCCTCCAATGWCGTTCGAACAAATAAGATCAACATTTGTGGATCGTTTGGATATCAATGTTTCGATTGAGCAGATAAAAGCCGTACAGTGYAATGGAACAAGAAAATACCTGTGAGTATGGACAGTTATGGTATACCGCTATTTCCAAAAAAACGTTGTCGGGGTGAACGGCGAATGGMGATTGTCGAAGGGAGAATCACACACGACCGAAAGTAACTATAGTTACACTATTTTGACAAACAAAATTTCAGTTGTTGGATTTACCTTGCAAAGAAATGTAGACTAAATTAAACCAATATTAACCACAAACTATCWTACAGTATAAATCRGTTGTTATTTTTCACCAATAAGCAAAACCCATGACCCTTTCAGCCGTGCAATCKCAGTTGTACAATTGACATTCCCCATATAATTTTATCCGACAACCTTTCTTGAAATAGCTATCAAACTATTCAGAGAAATGCCACAGAAGTTTCCATTTTTTTAGTTGAAAATGTTTTCTTGTTTGAAAATCATATTCTTAAACATTTAAAATTGAACCACATAAAAGACACATGTTTTATGGTGAAAAAYTTGTTGAAACGCGAGAAAATTAGCAATATTTTTGATTTGCAATCAGTGTCATGCATTGGCTATTTGTTGTCCAGCTGGACAACCAAATATGGTATTAGAACTATGGCAACCAAATATGGTCTTAGAACTACGATAATATTAGTTCCGTATGTACTACAGCTGTAACAGCGAGAGGCTTGATGGTGATGCTGAATTGCAATGCACTATTCGTGCTCTATAGTACCAGAATGAAACATCAAACGAAAAAAACAAACAAACGTACTGTAATTCAACAAATCACAATTGCGAATTCTTACACAACAATGCTTGTATCTCATRTCTTTATGGTCGAGTGAAACGAACGATCTTTTACAAATATGAGATCCCACTTTTGTATATCAATGTATATCATATTCGTAATTATACTTTGTTATTGCCATAAATCAGAACTTGTAGAATCTGTTGTTAGAACATTCTATTAAACTATTCTGCTTTTTTATAGTTGTGTGCCATATGAACAAACTGTAAAAGAGGCTTGGGATGAGAATCCAATCAAGTTGCCAGAAATACCCGATGAATGAAAAGAAGATAAATGAAAGCATGAAATATTTCTATTACATCAATTATAATTACACATTACATCTTCTCCTGAATAATACTTATGTCTTTATTGCTCAGTTTGTTTAAAATCCAATACTTAAGTTAATCCGTTCAACAAAGAGTTTCTTTATTAGATTAAGAGTTTCATGAGTCAAGAGGTTATGACGGTCAAACTATATTCAACATAATCATTACGACATTTAGAATTACTGGTTTCGCGAGTTTGAGCTTATAAATAGAGCTACCTCTAAGTTGAGGGGCAAACAATAACCTACACAATATGGAACTATAATACACATTATACTTTACTCTTAAGTCTTGTACACTTTGTACTCGCTAAACGACGAATGAAGATCCCCGGTACGTTCTACTGTTTGGTGCTCTCATCTTGAGCAAGCCTCACGACAATAATAAGCACTCCACGAATTGCTAATATAATCCACATTATGAATATAATAATATCATAACTACATAAAATACTCKATTCTGATTGGCTGACGAACTGCGAACTCTTAATTTGTGAAATTAATACCAAGCGTGCTATTAATGAATTGCACGAATCTATCCTAGGAGTCTTTGCGGCGCCTGATATTTGCATCCAGAGTTCGCAGTCATCATGGATTTTGGTGATAACTTCGAGGATTATTTTGATAATTTAGGCGAAAAGTCAGCTGCTAATGGAAGGGTCGACGAAACAACTGAAAAGCGTTTTCAGGCAGTCACGGACAATGACATTTGGGAAAATGGCTGTTTCAATCCAGTACGCGCGATATGTTTTCGCTATTATGTACTGCTCCTCATCGGGTCCGAGGGTGAATATTGAATAATRATAATGAATAACGGTCCAAAATTGACTGGGAATAATGAATAATCAAAAAATCAAAAAATCAAAAAGGAAGAATGAATAATGAATACCGAATCAACCCAAATTAAACAAAAAATCAAAAATATATACTATAAAAAATGGGGAAAAATAAGACAGGAATAAGGAATAATAATTGTCACTCATGTAAATATTCACCCAGACACCGACCCTCAGTACTACCATTATATGCGGGGTCGCATGGGGGGACGCATGGGCGGCCTTGCGTCGAGGGTTTTTCCGGGTCTTTCCGGGTTTTCCTCCCTCAGTAAAAACGAACCATTTCTATCTGCTGTGCTCCGCGTTCAGTCGTTCGTTGCTATGTAAAGGAAGAGCCTAGCTAGCCGGCAGCACGCCTATGTGTAAGTGTCTGTGAAATGTGTCTGTAATATAGCACTTCGACTTGAGAGCGCGTCGAGATGCGTCTTTCACAATTCAGCACCCATGCTGCCATGAAGGACGATTAGCACCCAACACCTTTTCCTTTATGCGATAATAAATAATAACCTCATTAATCTGGATGATATCTTTTTAAATACTACGAAAATTGTAAGTCCATGCCCTGCTAAAGGGTACTATGGAAATCAGTGGGAATGTCTTGGAATGTCAATCATGACACCGACACTGGTGACATTATGTTGACTGTGTGTTACAACTGTCGTTCTCTTCCGATCTTTCGTCCATGAATGTGGCTGTTGCTAGCAGTATCACTACTACCATCAATACTAATTCTTGATTACATGACTGGTAAATCAAGGCAAGTTTATTTTTGTTTGCTATCGTTGCCTATTTCACAGCTTGTTTTCCATGTCGCTCCCGGGATGTCGCTTCAGCTATAAGTTTTTAAGTATTTAATAGCCCTTGTGCTATTTGTGAAATTTTGCGGCTTCTAACACCTAACCTAAGAATTCTGATTCTTGTTCGTAAAGTATATAGTCTGTGTATTGAATATGTATCGTGACTACTAGAAATGCGCGCCACGATTGCATGTTTTAATATATAATACGAAACTAGCCTCTTTTTTTTCAATTTTACTCGGCATAAAATCCATATTCATGTCAAAACTCAATATTTGCAGGACATTTCGGTTCTTCCTTTTTGCACTGATTTGTCTTTTGTCAAATTTAAAAGATGAAGAAACAATTTCTAAATCTTTTTTCCCTTCAGTTTTATTGGAGAAACAGCGATCTTCCTTTGATGTCCTAAGCTCCTAAGCTCCCAGTTCAGCACACACGTGTCCTGTTTGACGTGGTAAAAGTTTTCAATTTTTTTAATGAGTTAGTCCCATACTCACGCTAGCGGGTGAGTAGCTTGAATACTGTGTTCAAGAAGCCAATCCGAAGCAAAATTGATTTTTTTCCGCGGAAAATTTCAATGTAGTTGCTTGAAAAATTAAAAGAAGCTTGTATTCACGGAGCTAACATCTTTGAATATTGGAAAATGTCGCCAGTCAGTAAATTTGTTAATGTCGGTAGTCAGCAAATTTAATTTGGTTCAAATTTGTCGCTAGTCAGTAGTTATTTTGTCCATTTGTCGCTAAACCCCATTCAGACTCTGAAATATCGACAAGCTCTCGCACTGGTTTAAAGAAATTTCTTTACTAATGCTACTAATCAATCAGATATGCGTCTGCTGGTTCAATCTATAATTGAGAAGAAAGAACTGAAAGTTTTTTCCAATAATTCAGTATTTTTACTTTTCAAATTTTCGGAATGTTGTTTTAATCGTCTGTGACTTTTAACGTGTTTTCTACGTCAGGATTGACGAACCTTATCCTGATAAGTAACTCAGTACATAAACTATAACAGCCTTAGCGAAACAAACAATTGTTTTGTTATTTATGTTTTGCCAGCTTGGAAAGGGCTCCCAAGATGGCAGCTCTTCGACTCCTCAAGCGACTCATCAAAAGTCCTACATTTCTAGTAATACTATATTTGGGTTTAATAGTATATTTCGTCAATATTTACCGTACGGTTTTGGGCAAACGTTTTAGTTTACCAACGACAATAGTATTACGACACCCAACAAAAAACTGGGAAACTGAAGGTTTACCAACGAAACTAGGACAGGCAACAACAAATTTGGAAATTGAAAGTTTACCAACGAAAATAGGACAGCCAACAGCAAACTTGGAAATTGAAGAGAAGATGGCAGCTACCTTTAAGTTGATCACTAAAACAGTTTGTGAACATAGAATACGTGTAATGCATGGCGGAACAGTTCTTTTTCAAGGCGTCACAATACGACCAAAGCTTGGCCGCGCTAGAGTTCTTGAAGTCAAATTGGATTACCCAAATGAAGAGGATGAATTCTTTCAGTTGCAGAAAGGTTTTTTCACAATGTACTGCGACGGTGATATAAACAAAGCTCATGAGAAATTAAATGAAGTCAGAGAATATCGCGCGTTAGCCGGTTGGATCGCTTCTCTTGAATTTGCAAATCCTGTGCTAACTCCACTTTTCCCATTGAATCAGTCATTTCAGGCCGGCCAGTACTTGGCAATTCAAAGGGCTGAGTATGCCAATGTTTACTGGACGATTATTGATCTGCTGGATATCTTTATCACGGCTCAACACATTGGAATACAACCAGAGAAACTTAACATCATTCATATCGATGCTCATCCTTCGACTTCATTGGACCCCTTCTGGACTACCTTATTCCAAAGGCTTATCAAGCTAGGCGTCGATCACATTTTTACAGAATCAGACAGCGTTGTATTTGAAAACCTGGTTTGGAGATATCCGCGAGTTAACTGCCCCTTATTGGATAAGAATCTTCAGTCCTTTGAGCCCATACAACCTTTCAGGGAGTTTGTGCTTAAGAGGTTTGGCATTGCTTCGAGATCGTCCAAGCGAAACTGCAGTCAGCGGCTAAACGTTTTGGTCATCCTCAGAAGAGATTACCAAACCCACCCTAGGAATTTAGATGGTACGGTTGACAGAAAAATTTCAAATGAGAAAGATGTTATAAGTGAAATGGAGGAAAACTTGGCTTCACAGCTGAAAATAACCGCCGCCCAGTTAGACACATTTCCATTAAAACGTCAGCTAGAACTCGTTGCCTCAGCCGACATTTTCTTCGGAATGCATGGTGCAGCTCATGGATATTCCATTTTCATGGCTCCAGGAGGGGCAGTAGTTGAAATATTCAATTTTAATTCGAACGACAATTGGCACATGGAGAAAGTATCTACGCTTTCAGGACATTCTCATATTACTTGGACAAGTACGGATCAAAACTCATATGATACAAAAACAAGATCGACAACAATTCCTGTGGGAATACCCACGAAGCTTTTAAAAAGAGCAATTTTCAAAATTTGTGAAAAACTTTGAAGGTGGTGTACAATTATGTCGATATTCATTGATACATCATGGTCTAACCGCCAAATTATACACAGTATAGACATGATCAGAAAATAGCCGGCCGGTTAAAACTAGTGTCACGGGGAGACTGTGGTTTTCAACAAAACGAGGCAGAATCGGGCAACCGAACTCAACAAATAGACCCATTTGTCTTTGTTTATCTTTTTAAAAATTTTATACTAAAATAATTTATGTTGTAAAAAGAAACTATTTTCAAAAACATGACTTGGCATATATTGTCACTCTTGTTCACACATTGATGACCGATTTTGCCTCGCTTTGGTTTTAACCTCGAAAATGTCCATCGACAGTGTGTTGGTAGTTCTAGATAAACTTGTATCCTTTGACTTTGGCTCTGAAAAGGAATAGACAAAAGAGATCAGTAATTTGATCGAGTTAGAAAAGAAATTATGCTACTGATATCAGAATCGATATGGCTGTCATCTTGTTCTCGGAACATGAAGAAATATGGGAAAGGCTGGGACAGTCACTCTCATGCAACTGCATATTAACCTAACCAAGTTGGCCTCATAATTAACTTACTTTGGATAGACGACACAGCATGCAACGATAAGAACAATAACAATGACGACAAAAATGAAAAGAGCGATTGAAAGTAGAGTTAGAACAACGGGGAAGCGAGACTCGTCTTCGTCGACCAATTGTTTGGCAGTTGAACCTTAAATCACAAAACAAATCAATAGTATCAGTACACTAAATGTTGCCGCTAGCAAAAACCTTGATTCATTTTACATGTTTTAATTCGTATGAAAAGCTAGACTTTCTTGCACAATCAAAAACCTTTGTAAGTGGGTGAACGAAAATCAGAAATATCGCCACCATTTAACATATCTAGTGCTAATTTGGTACAACATTTATTATATAGTTAACTGAACACTTAGAAGTAAAACGTCTTACCTGATCCAGAAATAGTAGTTGTCAGAGTAGTGTTTGGAGCAGCGGCAGTGGTGTTTGGAGCATGCGTGGTGCTGTTTGGAGGGGCCGTAGTGGTGTTTGCTATAAAACATCAGTATAATTTTGTGACTCATCAGAGCAAAATTTCTCGGTCTTTGCTTCTGTTTATATTTTTATTCTTTCGGGGGTTTTAAGCCGAGGGTAATTACATTGAAAGTGAGCAAAGCATTCTGGTAGTGGTAGTATTGGCCAAGACCGGAATTTTTTTTCCTGACCCCGCTAAAGTATAGTTTTCACTGTTTCAGTATCTCTGTAACAACGCGGCACAGCCCTGAAGACCTCCGATGAAAAGTATGATTTATTTTATAGTTGTTATTTGCAGCGCAGTAATTGTGGAAGTTCGATAGCAGCAATGCATTTCCGGCGGTCTTATAGTGCAGTAATGAAGTATCTACTGACAGTACATGTATTCAAATTCAGGACGCGCTTTTTGAAATCGTTGTGAGCACACATAAAAAAATTCATAAAGCATAGTGATGAGCTGGTGTGCCTTCAGTCCTCAAAAAGATCTTTCTAGTGTGTTYCTGTCATTGAAACATTTTCATTATTGTTAGGATCATAGTGATTCGAAATTGTTTATTCAGAATGGTCCAATCACAATGCAGCCTCCAGGGGGCAATATTGAAAAGAACGGTAGAATGTGCTAGACGAGCGAGTAAACTCATTGAATTGCATAAAAAAGTACATTCGTTCCACTAAGTGTTCCAGCTAAAACTATAATAAAAAATCCGACAAGATTTAAGATTTCCTTCGTTCTCAAACCCTTTTACCGTAGTTAAACCGATTAATCGAAATTTCAAGTCACATGTAACTAGAATTTATCGTATAGTCGTTATAWTCTATTCTTATAAAATAGTTTACTTCTATTTCTAATATTAAGTCACTTTTTATGATAAACTTACTTGTATTGACTGCAGACTGTGCCAATCCGAACGACAAAAAACACAATAGTGCCACAAAAGCGACGTCGGCCATATTTCAGTTTTTCTCTGGAAGATTTTGTTACTTTATGCAACCAAATTTTAGTAAAACTGGATTGAATGCATTTCTTTGCGTTATGTAGCTCACAAGAATCGTTTAAACAAGCAACGAAGATTTAGTCAATGTTTAGTCACCATTGTGTTGTGTTAGGTAGCCTATATACTTTGTTTCGCGCACAACGGAACTCAACCCCGGTCTCCTTGTCAACGGCGAAAACATTCAACACTTGTCRCAGTTTGTTGCAGACGATACAAATTAAATATGCCTGTATTCGAAGCAGCATAATATACAGGGATTTAAAGAAATTATGACCGCTAAAAATATATCAATATATTTACAAATCATGCTTGAATAATTTTTAATAACATAATTTCAAAGTATTCGAATGATTTGTGATCTGTAGAGAGAAAAAGCGAAAAACACATGATTTAAAACCAATGTTGTACCCGAAATAATGATATATGTTATAAAGAATTTTTGCAATGACTGTAATCCTGAATTTATTAAATGAAATATTATTGAAAAAAGCGTTGAAATATTTGTCCACTCCATAAAGACTTCCACTGGATAAAGGTTAAAAATTTCGTAACCTCGGTGGAAATTCACSMAMCYWRRARGKTWRKTTWMMAMMAWTYCMWTTT